AGCATGTGTTCGATTCTCCCTAATATCGTCTTTGGAAAGGGTTTAAAGTCTTAATCTCGGGACCCGCTCCGAATCAGACTAGTCGCGAAACGATGAATCTATTAAAATATTTCAAAAAAAATATGAATAACCAATAAAAAAGAATAAAAGATCCTTGCTTGTTATGATAATTCTCTGTACTGTACATTATTGTGTCCTTTTTTTTCCTTTGCAATCTTCAATAAGTTAAGATATGCATTACATAATATTGTATGTGAACATGTTTTACTAACAAAATTCCTCCTTTTTTTTTATATTTTCTCCTCCTTAGCTTCACCTTTTCCTGAGCTCTTCCCCTTCTTTTTCATATCTATTTGTCTTTGTCTCAGCAAGTGCACAGCGAAAAAAGGAACTTTTTTCCTTAGTAGGTTTGTATTACGACAAAAAGGGAGAACTGGCCACCTTAATGCACTCCCATCCTTTTTCTTTTTTGTATTGGTTTTGGCGAAGGTCAAGCCCCATTAACATATTATTATATTTGTTGATTCTGTGACAAACGTTAGTCTCTTTAATACTGAAGGACAATATGGGCATCTTCTAATTCCCCCAAAAGACATTTAGACAAAGAGAAACCCCACAAAACCTCTATTCCTTTCAAGCACAACGTCCTTTATCCCTTAGCTTTCATCCCTTTTGAGGTAAATCCTTTCTCTTCTTTCTTGCAACCCGTTATTTTGTTACCTAGTCACTTGTTTCCTTATTATTGGTTATAATCAGTGAAAACTTGAGTGGTCTAGCAGGACTCGAAACAAACAAAATGCCTTTTTCATGATATACACATTGAATGGACATGACAAGAACCACTCCATATATTAACGAATTCTATTCAGGCTTCTCTTACACTGTATACAGACTAATCCATTGTACCTAAAAAAAATAAATGGCACCCTTCTTAGCACAGTAAAAATGTATCCATTCAACCAAAAATGAACTACTATCTAATCTTTATTTCCATTTTCTTTCCTCTTGATTTTGTTACATCAAATCAATTGGCCTAATAAGTAAAGAAGTGATGCAAAATGAGACAAAAAGGTGGAGAGAAAGTCACCAACTCCCACTTGCTTCCCAACGAGAGCAGAGAACTTTGAAAATGAAATAGCCTGCTACATATATATGTAGTCAATGAGAGTTGCCTCTATATCTACTCCAATAATCTAATATGTTCACAAAATTGTCTTGAGTTTTAGAGGTAGTGTTTAATGTTAAGTCATCTCTATAAATAATGCTAAAAAAATTTATTTAAATGAAAATAAAACCTTCTAAATCCAAAGGAGAAAAAGTAAAATAAAATTGAAAGATTGAGACTAGCCCAAGGTGCAAAATGCAACCGAAGGAGATGAAATTCAAATCATGATTGAATGAGTAGAACAATAAGGAAAGCTGAACATTGGGCATTTTATTAGGTTTACTCATAGGTAAACTTTGGGTTAATATATTATAAATTGGTTTGGCTATGCTCTTTGTTTAAGCCTAAGTAAACTGATTTTTGCAATTTATATATTTACACACCGTTTGCATACACGTACTTTTTTATTTGAAAAAGATAGAATTAGAGAGGAAATGTATTAAGAAGTGTATTTTTCTTGTCATATTATTTATAAATAATATTGTTATAAGATATTATGATAATTTTCTTACTTTTAAATATAATGGTGTGCAAAATTATTACTAAAATATGGTGGCTTTTTTACCTTTATTAATTAAAAAATAACAATTTTGCCTTGTTTTAATACTATTTACGAATTTGACTTTTTATTAAAACTTATAATCAATCTGCTATTGTTTGACTATTGACTGAATGATGTAATCGACTACATCATCAAAAAATTAGGATAAAACTTTGAACGGTCAACTTTTAGCTCGGGAGTCCGAATCTGGTAATTTTTTTTATTCTATATAACTTTTTGAGTTCTACGTGTTGAAAAATTCCCAAAGGATTATTTGTTAGTATTGGAAAGTAAAAATGTAAATAACATCATTCACAAAGATAAAATATGTCAAACGGGACACAAAGAAGCATTTTTTGAGAATTTGTTAGGCTAAATCCCCTACATGTGTAAGTCTCTAAAAGTTACGTGAAATAACAAAAAAAGAGCACCTGATTCAGACATTCGAGTCAAAAGTTATGGCGTTCCAAAGTTTTACGATAAAATATCCAAAATTTTGTACCACATTCAACCCAGTGTTATCCCCACCGAGTTGGGGTTTTGGGTAGTCGATTACACCTTGTTATAACCCCTTCTTTGACCAAAATGGATGTTTTTACGAAAGTTAATCAATTATATAACTATTGTAATTGATTAACTTAAGGGTCAACGATCAAATATGGTGTAAAGTAATCGATTACACAACTGTTGTAATCAATTACCTTAATATCTCGTGGTTTAATAAATTACATTGACAATGTAATCGATTACTTTCTCTAGTCAACGGTCAAACAATGACAGATTTGTGTAAAGTTTTGGAATGAGGACAAATTGATTATTTTTTAATTAATAAAGGGCAAAGGCCAAAATATGATAGGTGCGACTTGTCTTAAATTCATCTTTATCATTCTTATTCACTTATTGAACATAAATATTAATTAATATTATAAAGAAAAATATTTATCATTTTAAAAAAATACAAGTTTATATCATTTTAAGTGAAAGTATTATATTTTGGTGCATATTCAATGATTTTTTTATATTATCTCTCTTCCACAAAATTACGAGGAGAGAGAAAGTGAAAGTACTATGTATGAAAGAGAAGCTAAAAAATTCATCAAAACACAGTAGTTTTACTTGAAATTTCACAAACTTATGACATTTAAAATTAATAATAAAATTGGCTATAAAAAAATTGAATAATAAAATTAAGATTATAAATACTAATTAAGATTATGATTAATGAAATTATTATTATTTTGAAAATTGATATCAGAGCTAAATAATAAATAACCTCATAAATTGCTATCATTAGAGATTATTCAAGTTGATGGCTTTATGGATTGGCCTACCATATTGGCAAGTGCTCTCTTCCTTTGTTGTAGAATTATGAAGAGTTCTCAAAGGTCTTGAAGATGTCTGGATCGGTGGTTGGAGGCTTTCTATTCTAAAAGTAATTCAAGGTCAGTTATCATTTTGCTCACCAAAAAATGGAGGAGCAGTTCGAGAGTCTCATTTGATAACTCATATTCGAACATGGTTACAAAAGAATTGAGAGATTCAACTAGTTCATGTGGTCAGAGAATGTAATGGTTGTGCAAATTGGTTATCAAAGTACCTTATGTATACTTTTCCTTGGTTTGTAATTTTGGTAGAGTTACTTTGACTTAATCTCTTGAGAGTTATTTTACCCCTCTAGATCACCCAAAAAAAAACCTCATAAATAGTTCTTACTTGCTTGAAGTATTTTTTTTCAAAACTTGTACAAATTTAAAAATATTAGATTTATTATCAATAATGATACTTTAATGATTAGTTTTTTTTAAAACATAAAAAATTTAAATATTTGATAAAGTCTTGAGTTAAATAAAAATAATCCTATAAATAAGGTGCATTTTTTTTATAAAAAAATTGTTAATTAAAAAATATTAAATTTGCAGTTAATAATTACAGTTTGATTATCAGGATTTTTTCTTATCATTAAAAGAATTCGAATATTTGATAAACTCTAAGAATTTTAAACAACCAAAATTTCCGTTTTTTGAATTTTTCTGATTTGTTGACACTTGAGATCTTTTGTATTGATTAATTAACCCAAAACGAATTCAAATCATAACACAGTGGCAGAGTATATTAAACTGTCATTATTAACAATAAATTTGATATTTTAAAAATTTAAAGGAGAATTATTTACACACCATCATAATTGTGCCATGTAACCACACGTTATATAATAAGTTTCCAACTTATTATATTGGGTTTGATTTTTCTACTTTCAATTTAAATAATTTATTTACATTGAACACGTCATTTTAATACGAAAATCAAGGTATTTTTATAATTATAATTTATTTCGAATTATAATAATTTTTTTCATTATAATTTTTTAATCCAAAATGACATCATTTTAAGATTGAATTAGATAATTTCTCTACATTCTATAATATTGAAGCCTATTATATTTACGTAAATATTTATGTTTTTGTTATTGAAGGTCAAAAAAGCCATGAGTATCATATCAACCTTAATTAAAGCTTGAGATCTTCGTCGGACATTAGAATGATAGAATCTCTAATGCTCTATGGCCCTTACAACTTTTATGAATATAATATTCAGCCACAATTTTTATTTTCTTCTTCTCTTTGGTGACCTTTTTGATCTCTAGAGGCTCTATAGGGTGATTTGTCCACTTTTGGACGCTTTGACATTTGCACTGGTCTACCATTGCTGCTCCAACTTAAGCCACAAACTTTCTTTTACTCCTTTCAGTGCAATGGCAAAAAGGCCATTCTTTTTTACATAAAAAAAGGCTAGTAGCATAGCAAAACAAAATTAGCACTAGTATGTGCAGAGGAAGGTCGTTAAAAGAGAAGACTCATTGGTCAAAAGACTAATCTTTTCTCCACATTCGTGGGTTTGGTTTTATACACAGCCTCATTGCACTTTTCTATTTATGTCCAAACTGTAATAGCAGCAAAGCAAAGCAAATGATCCCTTTGTTGGGTGCTTCCTGGAAGGAAGCTTTTCTCTTCTGAAATGCAACAAGTCATGTCAAAATCAAGTCTTGGAATCTAGTTTGTAGGTTCTCGTGGCTAATTTGGTATCTTGATTCTGGACTATAGTTTTTTTCTGGTTCATTTCTCAAGTGTTCTCTTTCTGAGTTCTTGCTTTTTAAGCTCCTGGGTAGGATGATGACTCTGTGTTGATTTGTTTTTCACTTTTTCTTTTCTTCTTCTTCTTTTTATCTTATATCCTGTTAAATGTTAATGTATTTGGTTCACTGGAAATAACTCTGATTTTGGATGGCTTTCAGACATGGGGTTTGAAGGTTTGATTCTAAGGCACAAGCGTTCAAAGAGGTGTGCCCCTCTATTCCATATGATTGTTTAGCTTCTCCTGTTGCTTAAAGTGGGTTCCTTTATGTTCGTACTATCTTAATTGTGGAATTCATGCATGAGGGGTTGCTTGCTTTCCTGGAAAATGGAAAATAAAGCTTTCACATTTATGTCAATGTCTTCTGAATCTGTTCTTTCTTTCTTTCTTTTTGGGTCTAGTTTTACATAGTTTGTATACCCATTGGAGCACATCCTTTGGGGAGAAGGGGTTTCCTCGTTGAAACTGAAACTGAAGGTTGATACCTCTTAGAAAGGGTGAGAATTAGGGATTTCATGAATGTAGCTTGGTCACCTTAAAAGGGCACCTCAAAACAAAATACAGAACCAGATATCAACTTATCATATAATACATAAAATAACTGTATTTTGCTGTTTATATATGGCAGCTTTCCTGATAAGAAAAAGGTCGTGGTGGATAATCTAGATAATCTTATCGAGGCTTCAGATCGATCAAAGCTGGTATACTCAATCACTCCATTATTTCAATTTTCAACAAGAAATAGTCATCAATTTTTCCTAGATTTTTTTTTTAACTTAGGAATTTGAAGGGGTACTGTTCTCATTAATGTAATGTAAAGCATGTACGATACTGAAAAAATGTCAGCAATTCCTTTTTTTGTGTGTGTGTGTTTGTGTGGGGGGGGTCTAGTTGGTATCATAAACTCCAAGGATAGCCAGAGATATGAATTAAAAAATATTTTTTTAAAGTTTAGCATGGGACTGATGAACAGAGAATTGATCTTGTGAAAAGCATATATGTTTGGCATAATTAATCTCATCTCATACAGTTGTGATATTGATGTTCTAGTTTAATATAATTTTCTCTAGTCCACAGGCATACAATTACTTAGAAGCAAGATTCTCATGCCTAAAGTATGGGTTTGATCTGGTTCCAGGATACAGGATACCTCACTGAATGCGGTAAAGCTAGGATAAAACGATCCCCAACAAATGATGTTCAACATACTCTGAAACAAGAGGTACAGCACCAGAACTGTTCATCACAATTCTTTTATTTTATATTCTACTGCAGCAATATTTTATGCAGTATGATTCAATCAGTCATTTTCTTTCAATCATCCTTCAGCTTTGTTTAGAGGCTCGGCGTACTTCTACCTGATAGCTATGTCTATTTTGTGTTTAAATTAACTTGCGGCAGATTCTACAATTAGAGAAAAGGCTACAAGACCAGTTTCAAGTCAGATGCACATTAGAGAAGGCACTTGGATACAGACCTACATCTCTTGTTAATTCAAATAACATGATAATGCCCAAGGTTGGAACTTCTTCAATAAATTTTGGGACAAAAATTGTGCATTTGCTTCTGATGTCATAATTATCAACAGGCGTGACATATCCAGGAATAATGGACTGATTTATTTGTGCTTTCGTAAACATTAAAAGAACATTGATCTTGCAAGCATACATGTAGTTTTGTCTTATGCATGCTAGCCTGATGGTGAATATGTTTGTGACTCAATCTTGCAATGCATGTGTCTCCAATCATAAGATTGTTGTGCAGCCTGGAAATGGTTATACATTGTTTAGGAGTCTATTGTTAATTTAAATGTCCGGTATGACTTTCTTGTTCGCATTTTGCTGTTTGTTTGTCAAGTTTTTATTTTATTTTATTTTATTTTTTGACTCCAGCCAACCACAGAATTAATTAAAGAAATTGCAGTGTTAGAGTTGGAAGTTGTGTATTTGGAACAACATCTTCTCTCCTTGTACCGTAAAGCATTCGATGAACAATTATCCTCCGTAGCTCCATCAACCGAGGAGGAAAGAGTAAAGTCTCCTCCAACAACACCTAGAGCAAGATTCATTGAAGCTTCTGAGCCTAAGGTCTTAACCAGAAGAGGATGTTCTGCAGTACAATCTATTGATTATGAGCTTGATACTCTGCAAAGGGAATATAATGGATATGAACTCGAGACTCTGGGGAAAGAATATAATGTACTTCGGTCAGAAGGAAAGAATTTAGATTCTGATGTATATCGATGCAACTCCTCATTATCCCAGTTTTCAGCATTTACAAGAGTATCTCCTCCAGCAGAAGCGTTGACAGGATCTCTGCATGCCTGTCATTCCCAGCCATCGTCCATGGTGGAGGTAAATCACGTTTCATGGAAAACTCTTATACCTGTTTTTGTATAAAAATCTGGCTTCTGACACATTGAGTTGCTGCAATCATAACCATTCTTGTTAAAGGAGACGACTGTCTTGGTTACTCAAACTCTTCTTTATCTTTTTTGAAGAATACAATACAACATATATTCACTTTATTTGTGAACTTCTGTTATATCCATTTCTCTTTGCAACTATATCAGTGCTAGATGCAGAGATTGGTCTTTTTAGAGTCCTTCTTTGGATTTTGATTCAGTTCATTCCATACAGTATGCCCAAAATGTCGATGCTTCGTCAAAAATAATCAGTCTGGCAGAACATCTCGGCACCCGTATATCTGATCATATTCCAGATACACCTAATAAGCTTTCTGAGGATATGGTCAAATGTATATCAGCTATATATTGCAAACTTGCAGACCCACCTATGACAAATAGTGGTCTTTCATCTCCCAGTTCATCCTTGTCTTCAATGGGTGCCTTTTCTATTGGAGATCAAGGAGACATGTGGAGTCCAGGGTTCAGGAATAATTCCTATTTTGATGTACGGTTAGACAATCCATTCCATGTGGAAGGACTCAAGGAGTTTAGTGGTCCATACAGCACTATGGTTGAAGTATCATGCATTTATAGAGAGAATCAGAAATTGGGTGATACAGAGCAGTTGCTCCAGAACTTAAGGTGAGTCTATTAATATCTGTCCAAGATCGTGAAGTTTTCATATGAAAGTACATAGTTAAGTGGAATTCTTTGGTTTCAGGTCCCTTATTTGTCAATTAGGGCATGTAGATCCTGGGAGGTTGAAACATGAGGAGAAGTTAGCTTTCTGGATCAACATACACAATGCTTTGGTGATGCATGTAATTATTATTCTCAAAGGGCCTGTTTGATTGTGTTATGGTTTTTTTTGTTCTTCAAACTGTTTTGTATATTAGTTATGGAAACAATTGTTTTCTGTGTTTTTTTTGTTTTGAAAATTAAAAACCAAAACAGAAAACAAAAACATCCCAGATATGTTCTCTAAATTTGATTCTAAAAACAAAAAAAGAGTTACAGTTTTTAAAATATTTTTTACAAAACAGGCCTTATCAAACAGGTTTTTTTGTTCTGAAAACTAAAAAATTGTTTTTAAAAAACAGTAATCAAACAGAGTCTATAAAATTGTTTTTAAAAACAGTAATCAAACAGAGTCTATGTTTCCCTTTAGTGTTTTTCCATTTCTCTCACTTGATTAATTGGGTTATAATCTGTTCTTTGGTTTCTAATAGGCATTTTTGGCTTATGGGATTCCACAAAACAATGTGAAAAGAGTCTTTCTTCTAATGAAGGTAAAAACTTAAGCGTAGTGCCTTTAATAGTCAATTAAAGGATGAAACTCTTAAGCCTATCTGCTTTTGCTGACATGATCAATGTCATGCTCTTTGCAGGCTGCATATAATGTTGGGGGTCATACAGTTAGTGCAGACACAATAGAGAATACTATACTTGGGTGCCGGATGTCTCGCCCTGGACAGGTGGATCATACAATCCTAACTGTTCCTCTATAAAAAATTTAAAAAGAAAAGAAATTATGAACGTGCCATTTAGAATATCTTTGAAATATCTCCTCAATATGCAAAGTGTTTATTTTTTGAGTCCTACAGAGTGACTTGCATGGGAGCTTCTTCTAACTAGCTTCCTCTTGTAGTCGTTCCGCTTGTTCTTTTCTTCAAGGACGAAGTTCAGAGCTGGAGATGGACGACAAGCATATGCAATCGAGCATCCTGTGCCTCTTCTACACTTTGCACTGTGTTCAGGAAACCATTCTGATCCAGCGGTACTTATATCCCAATTCTTAATTTCATGATTTCATTAGAATTGCAACATCTCCATTTTTCCACACTTGAATCTATCTGCTCAAGAGTACATGATATTTTTTTGGGCAAATACTTTCTGCATTGGCAAATCAAGTGGACAAAACATGGTACAGATCATTTTGACATGGAATAATTTCATCGACACTTACCTAGTTTGTGTACAACACTGTTTGAACTTGCTTGCATTAAATCACTTGTAAAGGATGTTCTCATGCTTGCATTTGACAGTGGTTGCCTTGGTGGAGTTATTACATCTAGAAGAATTAAATTACTGTGTTTAAAATGGATTTTACTTTTCAAGAGTGGACTACTATATATAATAGGGAAGGTTCTTTTAACTCAAGAGTAAGACTTCTAACTGTTACTCCCCATCTTAGCCGTTGATGGTCGAAAATCAAAGGTTGTCATTTGTAGTGTAATTAATAATTAATTAATTAGTATGACTTCCTAAACTATAACTGTTAGATGGGCGGAAATCAATGTTTGAGATGAAGAGTAAGACTTAAAAGTCTTACTCTGGAGTCAAAATATCTCTCCCCATATATAATATAATACATACTATATACGTAGACAGACCTCCTCACCTTGGTTTCTGAAAGAAAATATAAGGGGACCATTGCTTGTGATAGCCTGTTCTCGAAATGTGTTAAACAATAAACAAGTTCAAGGTGTTAAGATATCCCACATTTGCTAAATATATAGGCTGAGTACCCTTTGTAATATGTGCAATCCTCCCCTGACAAGCTAGCTTTTGGAGTTGAGTTGAGTCATTCTAATATGCTTAACTTTAGTGAGTTATCTTGGAATGAACTATGACAGGTACGTGTATATACACCCAAGAGAGTGTTTCAAGAACTAGAAGTTGCAAAGGAAGAGTACATTCGAGCTACCTTTGGGGTACGCAAGGACCAGAAAATACTTTTACCCAAGCTTGTAGAGACATTCACCAAGGATTCGGGTTTGTGCCCTGCTGGTGTTATGGAGATGATCCAACAGTCTCTACCTGAATCCCTTAGAAAGAGTGTTAAGAGACGTCACCTTGCAAAATCCCGGAAAAGCATAGAATGGATACCACATAACTTTACTTTTAGATATCTCATACCTAAGGAGCTGGTCAAATGATTATTTGGTAGCGTTACTTATTGCTATGGTACACCCTCTGCATTGTTTGCTCTATTATGTATTCTTTTTGTACAAAGTTGACAAGGGCAGAAGCAACGGAAAAAAAAGCTAATAATGCAATGTGTAGTAGTATTTTGCAGCTAATGTCTTGCCATGTCATTTTAGTATCTGTAATTGCTGTAGTCTTGAGATTCTGCTATAAACGATGTAAATGATTTGTTGCTATAATCAATTGTCATTTGGATTTCTTTGTGATTTATGACTTGCCCTTTATTAAAGCTTTATTCTAATGGCATTCCTTAAGGATAAAACAAAAAGTAGAACACATGAAAATGAAAGCTGGTGCATTGAGTAGAGCTGGCAAAATGGGCTGAGCCCGCCCGCCAAACGGGGCGGGGCGGGCTGAGTTTTCTAAACTCGCTGCCCGCCCCGCCAAGCCCGCCAGCCCGTCCGGGCTGATTTTTTTTTTTTTTTAAATTTTAGTGTAAATGTGGCGGGCTTGGCGGGCCGCCCGCCCAAACGGGGCGGGGCGGGCAGAGATATCTAGCCCACCTTCAAGGCGGGGCGGGGCGGGCCAGCCCGCTTTTTGGCGGGCAGGGGCGGGGCAGGGCCGGCAGCCCGCTTTGCCACCTCTAGCATTGAGATAACTACAATTAATATTATAATCACGTGACGCGACAGGGGTCCAGTCATAATATTAATAGTATAAGGACACTTGGGATTCACATTTGCGTTTTAAATTGTGATTCGGAAAGTTCCCCATAACAGCAATTTAAAATCGTAGTACGAGTTTTCAATGTTACTTTCAACAGTCTTGACACTTGAGCTTTGAGTCATCGATCTCCAAATATAAGTCAGTAATGCTTTTACGTATTTTAATGGTCAACGTTGAAAAATTAAGAAACTTCACCGTGAAAAGCTCAGAAGAGGTATAAAAACTGCTGAACAGAATTACAAATGAAAATGGCATGAAGTGCAATATTTTTTGGACTCACACACATACAAATATATAATATGTACGGTGATAAGATTTTTTGTTATCACTTTAGACAAGAAGTTCCCTTGGACAGAATCACTAGTGAGAATGGCATCAGTAAGTACAATTTTTTTTTTTTTATTCTACACACAATGACCCAACTAAATTTTCTACTCACACAAAAGATGGGTGAGTCCTATTTACAATATTGTTTCTACAATATAAGATAACTATTTTTCTACGGTATAAAGAAAATTATTTATCACACACACACACATATATATATATATATATATAGGAAAATATTTTTCTCATTTCGTTGGAGAAAACTCTCTCAAATTATACGCTCCGAATTTCATGCAAGTTTTTTCTATTTTTTTCTTTTGTTTTAAAGTGTAGATATCACGTATTTATCTCATACATATAAGAAAATTATCTCAAGTAAAACGAGATTAGTAACTCGGATGTATAAAAGGCGATGGGATCTTTTGTATTCAGTTGGGACAAGTTGTTCCGTGTACGATGGGGCGATCCGCAGTTCATATATATATATATATATATATATGGGTTTTATAATTCTCATTTAACATGAGAATTATAATTTTTCTACAGACCCTTCGATTTCCGTGCTGACATGGGTCTTACATATAATTTTTTTTTACACATGGGTCCCACATGTTTTTTATCTCTACAACATGAGATTTCAATTCTTCTTCAACATGAGAATTATAAAACCCTATATATATATATATATATATATATATATATATATATATATATATATATAAAAGGCGATGAGATCTTTTGTATTCAGTTGGGAAAAGTTGTTCCGTGTACGATGGGGCGATCCACAGTTCGTGCCCGACATGTGCACGTGAACTCCCGGTATAATTCATCGTGCCATAATGTTACTACTGACTTGCAGTTTGAGAAAACCCCCGACAAAACACTAAAACAATGGCCAAGTCTGCTTAAAAATCCTCACTAACCTAACACAAGCCATTTATTATAGCACTTTAACCTTTGTAGTTGGGGAAAACAACCATCTACCACAAAAATTTAGGACCGCTGATAATTCATTGACTGTACCCTACCTAATCTGTTCCTCTTACAAGATTAAAATGTTAAAAAGATCAAGATCTGTGTTATTGTGTGTGTGAGAGATAACAGGATCTGCAAACTAAAATTAATTTATTAGAACCACCAACCAAGGAGATCAACTATTAAGGAGTAATTCTAACTTAATCAGTGATCTTGAGTTCGGTTTCTTATAATCCAGTTGTGTTAAAAATTTGATTGGGAGAATTCTACGATCCCGTGTGGTCTTACCCGTTTCCAATCATACTAGACGAATAATAAATCAACCTATGGATGATATAAAAATAATAATAATTTATTAGAAATTTGGAAAGTTGCACTAAAGATCCAAAGTTAACATGCAATGTCTCGTGCCATGCCAGGTGATTCTACTTATTTGATCCAATTCATAATCCCCAAACATCATAATGTGTCTCACTCACATTACACTAAATTAGCATTTAATTCACAAGACAAGAATCACAAACTCAAAACTTAAAATGTGAAATTTCAGTATGGGCTTTCCCCTACGTAGTTTCCAGGTGGATTATAGAAACAAATGGTCAAGCTAGCTTGGTCCTTCACGCACGTGACTTGAGCACACCCCAACTCAACGGACTTTCTCCACACAACCTGCGTGTAAACGCCGCACCTGTGGTTCGGCACGCACGAGTTGTCAGTGTGGTTATAGAACTGTTTCTGCTTGACCCATTCCTCAACCACCATGCGCGGTGTCACCGCCGTCGTGCTGCGGGCCCATAGCTGGTTGGCGCCGTACTTTTCGGCCGTTAAGTTGGCGAACTGGCACGCCATTTTGTCCCTTTGGTAGCGGACGAGCCTGCTTGTGGCGTTGGCTAACTGCTGGCTCCACCTCAGGGGTTGAACCCCCACTTCCGCTCTTGCCATGTCGTGTGCTTCCAAGAACTCCCTTGCCGCGGCTGGTAGCGGCGGAGGCGGCGCCACCGTCGCTGGCTCCGCTGTGACATGGAGGATGGCTAGTGCCGCCAGCAAAAACAATGGACCATGAACCATCTGACCTTTTGTGGTGGACTTGTGTCATGTGAAAGATATCATTTTATTTATAGATCAATGATAACAATTTTAATGAAGAATTTAATAAAATAAGAAAGTGAAAATTATGATTTTAATTACTAATCATTAATCTATAAATAAATAGTTAAGATTTTTTATATAATTATATTAAGCGATGACATAGTGATAAATGGACTATAGTCTACAGCCAACGAATGGACGGGTAAGGCCTGGAAAAAATAAATAAATGGGCCTAACCATTCCCTTCACATGTCTCATACATATATAAAAAATAGTAGTGGATTTCATTTATTTTTTTATATATTATTTGAAATAAAATTGTCTTATGTAAATATGAGCAAAATATTATTAGGGTAAATTCTTGGTTATGTTATCAATGCAATGAATGACTCTCTTGTGTTGTTGGAGCTGGTGAGAGGCCTAACACATTTAAATTTTGGGAAAACTTCAAAAACTCCTTTATGAGTTTTCTTAATTATCACTTATCCCCTTACAAATTTTTTGAATCATTTACACCCTTATTTAGATTTTTTTATCACTTACTCCCCTGACTTAAAGTTCCTTTATCACTTATCCCCTTCACTTAGGGTAAATGATAAAAAATCTTTAAATCAGGGAGTAAATGATTCAAAATTTTGAGGAGGGCGTAAATAATTATAAAGAAAGTTATAGGGTTTTTTGAAATTTTCCCTTAATTTCTTTTTTTTGAAATGGCAACACATTTAATTTGAACCCTAGAAATGGAAGAATAGTGGTCCTGGTGCTATGCTACTATCCAGTATTCATTGAATATTAAATTATATTTAAAGGTGCAAATTTTATTAAAAACAACTAGCAATTAATAAAATATTTAATAAATACCATATGCAGAAAGAAAAAGAAAAAAAGAGATGGATAGCAGGTAAAAAGGAAAAACGAAGTGCATGCAGTAATGTAATGCAGACTGCAGTGTGTGTGGGTTTGTGGGCTTAACCATATGAGGTGTCTGGGAGGGTAATAAGGACCTTCTGAATCTGTCTTTTCAGAAAAAATTTGGAGTGATCCCGGATCACCTAGCTTTTAGTGGTCTAGCCATTCAAAAGGTTACACATAGACTCATTAATCCACATCATTATAATAGCTGGTATTTTTTATTTTTTATTCATTAATATTTTTTTATTTCATTTTTCTCCTTCTCTTTCGTTTTTCTTTACTCCCATCTCACTCTGCAAATGGAGTTTTCAATTTCCTTCTCCATTCCTTCTCTTTCCTCTCATTATGTTCTATTTCCTTCCATAGCTTGCAAGGAGTTCGTCAGAATCTGATCATTATTAGCCGTAATTTGATTGTCGTTTGCCAAAGCCTTTCCCATTATTGATTTACCACAATATTTTGAACCAGAGTTCCATCACCAATTTACCATAATATTTTGTAGAGGAGTGGAAGGTGCATGTTATAAAGAGGTGTGTGACTTTTATATATAATGTGGGGGACTATCATTTTTCATCTGCTTCGTTCAATTTTGTAAAAATAGAATGTTCATATTCTTCTTCTTCTTTCTACTATAAATCTGATTGTAATATGCTTGTGTTTTTTTTTTTTTTTAAAAAAATCACCCTAAACTTGAGTTTTATGGTCATCTTTATGATGTGAAATGAGCATCTTTTGTAGGGTTTTTGCAGATAGAGGAAATGAGCACTTCTAAAAAGAAATGGATGATTTTATATATTCAGATTTATCTTCATTTAGTTCCGACAGTGAATATGACAATGAACCAAGAAAGATGTTGGTGGTTGTGAGTAAGGATCAAGATGGATATGAGCCAAAAATTGGAATGTTGTTTTCAAATGAAGATGAAGCTTATAAGTTTTATAATGGATATGCTAAATTGGTTGGTTTTACTGTGAGAAAATCAAAATATCAAAGATTGGCAGATGAAACCATAAGTCAGAGAACATATGTTTGTGGAAAAGAAGGATATAGAAAATTGAAAGACCCTTCACATGTGACAAGAAAAATAGAAGAGAAACAAGAACTGGTTGTCAAGCTATGATACGTTTTAACATGGATAAGGATACTTGGATTGTTTCTAAGTTCATCGCGGATCATAATCATGATCTTGTGAAATCATTTGCACGTGCTATGTTAAGATCACAAAGGCGTGTGGATGAAGCATATGCTAATATGATTGAAGATATGGACAATGCTGGATTAAAACCATGTAGTGTGTATTCATATTTTGTTGAAGCTACTGGAGGTGCTGAAAATGTTGGATTTTTAAAATCTGATTGTAATAATTTTTTACAAAGTAAAAGAAACAAGACTCTTGAAGCAGGAGATAGTGTTATTAATCATTTTAAAAGTCTTCAAGCAAATGACTCATCCTTCTTCTATACAATGCAAGTAGATAGTGAAAATTGCATGACTAATTTTTTTTGGAGTGATGGCATATCAAGGACAGATTATAATCACTTTGGAGATGTAGTCATTTTTTACACAACCTATAGAACAAACAATTATAATATGGCATGTGCACCTTTCATTGGGGTAAATCATCATAAACAAAGTGTTTTGTTTGGTTGTGCTTTCTTACTGAATGAGACAACAAAGTCCTTTTCTTGGTTATTTGAATCATTTTTGGAAGCAATGGATAGGTTGCAACCTAAAATAATTTTCACTGATCAATGTCAAGCAATGGCCAATGCTATTAAAAGAGTTCTTCCTAAATCTCAACTTCGACTTTGCTTGTGGCATATTGGCCAAAATGCTGCTAAGCATCTTTCTTATTACTTGAGAAAACCTGCTTTTAAGGTTTTATTTAATAGGAGTCTCTACAATTGTGGATCAGAGCAGGAGTTTGAAGAGGTATGGGCTCGTTTAGTCACAAAAGTTGATATTTCAAAATGCTCATGGTTGAAAGAAATTTATGAGTTACGAGCAAATTGGTGCCCAACATTTAGTAAGAATTATTTATCAGCTGGCATCTTATCAACACAAAGAAGTGAGAGTATGAATAATGTTTTTCGTACTGTCACTTGCAAGACAATGTCTCTTACTCAATTTGTACTTCGTTATGAAAAGTTTTGGAGCGTAGACGATGGTCAAAATTGCAAAAAGACTTTGAGTGCAATCAATCCGCACCTCGTAGAGTAAAAGAACTTGTAGGTATTAGAATTGTTTGAATCTTTATCTGTGACAATTAAAAAAATGAATAAAAATGGTATGGCTGAAAAAATTTATTTTCTTTTATTACAGGTATGACTGAATAAGTTGCACGGGTATATACTCATGTTATTTTTGAAGAATTCTATGAAGAATTGTTTGGATCTTTATCTGTGGTAATTGAAAAAATCAATGAAAATGATACTTTGTTTTGTTACAAGTTAGTTAAATCTGGTGATGACAAATAATATTTTTTGACATTTGAAACTGCAAATTGCTCTGTTGAATGTACTTGCAGAAAGTTTGAATCAGTTGGCCTTTTATGTCTTCATGCATTGAAAGTACTTAACTTTCACAATATTTTTGAAATACCTTCTCAATATATCTTGAAAAGGTGGACAAAAAATACTAAAGATGGTATTAGTATAAGCAACAACAGTAATCAGGTTTTTGACAATGGTAAACAAGGAATTAATTTTCGTATGAGTCAAATAATGAATAAAGCCATTTATTTTGCAACCAAAGGTGCATTGACAGATGAAGCAACCAAAATGGCTGAAGATCACCTAGAGCATGGCATAAAAAGATTGGAAATGATGTTAAAAAATACTAGTGGCATGATTGATAAGACTACAATTGAATGTAAGACTAGTGGTGAAGAGATAGATGAGCATAATACTTTAAATTCAAAAAAAGTCTTAGTTCCGCATCGAGTTCGAGCAAGGGGAGTTACAAATGCTAGACTCAAAAGTCAGCTAGAAAAGAAAAGGTGCAAGAGACATCAATCACAAGCTCTTGGTAAATCTCACGGTGCTAATACATTAAAACCTCTAAGACATAATCATATTGATACAAGTACAATGAATAAATTAATTAGGATTATACTATTTATTTATTTATATGTGATTTTATGATTATTATTGTTCTTTTCTTTTGTGATTTAGGAAAAGCTTCAAGTATGACAGCTAAAGATTCTAGCACCTTTTATACACCTCTACCAGCTTATAATTTTCCGTATACCTCTCTTGTGACAAATGCTAATACAACTCCACCACCTTATTGTTTTCCATATGTCTCTCAAGTGGCAAGTGTTAATATAGCTCCACCAGTTTTTTGTGTTCCATATATCTCTCAAGTACCATATATGCAAGTATTATTATAGAATAACATCTCATGATACTATTCTAGCTCCAGCAAATGACTATTTATGTGCTCCATACTAATTGTGATACTATATCACAGAAGAATAACTTATTTTTTCAGGATCAACAGAACTGAAGAGCTCATAGTAAGGATGACTACTTTTCCACTCAACAAAATGACTGAGAATGATGCAATATGATATAAGTTGTCATGCAAGTTTTTTTGAATGAGAAGAAGTCCTACAAGCTGCTAGGTCAAGTCGGACTCTCAAGTCAATTACGGAAGCGAAACAGTAAAATAGAAGAGGAGAGAGATGGAGAAGAACACGGTCAATTTGTTTAACGTGGGAAAACCTTCTCCAATGTGAAGAAGTAAAAAACCACGAGACACTAGTCCAGAATCAAACTTCCACTATAAGAATAATGAGTTACAACTTACAACAATCAAACTTCCCTAGTTTTTCACTAAAGGTACAATTAAACTTCACCTACAATAGTGGTAATATCAAACTTCCCTAAAGAGGTCTCACTCAAACTTCTCTCTAGAGGTATTCAAATTCTTTTTTTATATCTCTAAACCTCACACACTATAAGCTTATATAGGAGAGGGAGATGATTCTAGACATTGAACCACTCAAAGGATGTGTCCCTTGAGCCTTGCACCTTCATTTATGGAGAGACATTGAACCACTCAAAGGATATGACTCTTGATCCTTGCACCAAACATGGAGAGTTCCAACCTTTTGAGACTTGAGCCAAGCATTGAAGAAGGAACAACTCCCAACACAGGCTATATAATCTAATAATATGACTTTTAAATTAGAGGGTTATAATGAGGACCATATGGTCATAAATAGAATGGGGATGAAATTCTAAGAATTTTGATACCCATATTGAGGGTATTATGCACAGATGAATTTTTATCTGTTAAATTTGACTACTGACGTAATAACAATCGGTAGAATAGCTCCAAGTTAGCAAATTATAGTTAGAGAGCTAATCTAATGATATAAACATCATGAATGAGATTAGGATATGATTTGATGAAGATTGATACTCATATTGGGGTATTTTTGAAAAGTCACTTCTGCCGGGTATTTTGTAATGCTGTAGCAGCAGCTGGTAGATTCCCGGAACGGGAAAAAGATGAGAAAATGGAAATAAAGACCAATATATGCCTAAAAATTCATAATTAGACCAAAAATGTTAAAGTTAAGAAGATTATGAAATTCGGGTACAGTTAAGAACACCGGTAAAGACTACAGTGCAATTAAACAACGGTTAGTGAATCTGTGATCTATTAATTAAATTTTTTAATTATGAACATGATAATTAGACAAAATTAATGTTAAGTACTTAAAGTTAGAGTCTTGGGAGTTTCTGGGTAAAAATTTGACGACGGTTCAGTTAAAAATTACACCGGGTCCCACTAAAGGACAAAGGCCACTTAAGTGACATGGCACCCCTCATTAGGACACCCTCCTCTCCTTCCCTTCCATTTCTGATCAGCAGCCCCTTCACTCCTACTCTCTCTAAATTTCAAATTTTGAAAACTCTTTCACTTCCCTCTAAAATTCCATCACCTAAACCTCTCCAAAACACAAAACCTCCTTTATCAAAGTTGTTCCTCTCACTCTCCTCTTCACAACCATACCATTTTCATGGTGTGAATCCAAAATTTCGTGTCCCTTATCATTCCAAACAACTACGGTTTTGTGAATAGTAAAGGCCTTGGTGTTGTGTTTTTAAACTCTCTTGAAAAACCACACTTGATTATGAAGAGAAGAAATATGTGGTTGATCTGATTGTGCTTGAGGGTATGAATTTGCACATTATTCTGGGCATAGATTGATTAGTCAAACATGGAGTTATGATTGACTATTGTAGTAGGAAGATTTATTTCTCTGCTAAGAATGAGAAGAAGGACTCCTCATATTTATTAGTGTTGGAGATGATTAAGGCTCTAAATGCGGGAGATGCAGGATATATCATGTTAGGAGGATTGGTTGGTGTCTCTTAGGAGCCAACTTCTAGTATTTCGATTATATGTGACTTTGAGGATGTATTTACAGAAGAGATCCCACATTTTCCACCTGAGATAGAGATTGAATTCTCAATTGACTTAGTACCTGGTGTGGGGCCTATCTCATTGGCTCCATACAGAATGTCACCAGTGGAGCTAGCAGAGCTGAAGAAGCAGTTAGAAGAATTATCCCATAAGAACTTTATTAGACCGAGTGTATCTCTTTGGGGTGCACTAGTTATCTTTGTGAAGAAGAAGGATGGGACTATGAGATTGTGCACTGATTATAGGTAGTTAAACAAGGTGACAATAAAGAACAAGTATCCTCTACTATGCATAGATGATTTGTTGGATCAGCTTAAAGGTGCTTCAGTATTTTTGAAGATTGATCTTCGTTCCGGATATCATCAGATCCGGATAAAAGCAGAATATATTCCAAAGACGGCTTTTCCATCTAGATATAGGCACTATGAGTATCTAGTGACTCCATTTGGGCTTACATATGTCCCAGCGGTGTTCATGAGTATGAACCGGATCTTCAAACCTTACTTAAATCAATTTGTTGTGGTCTTCATTGATGATATTATGATCTACTCCAAGAACCAAGAGGAGCATGCAGAGCATTTGAGGATAGTTTTACAGATTTTGAGAGAGCATCAGTTGTATGTGAAACCGTCCAAGTATGATTTCTGGTGGTCTGAGATTCAGTTTTTGGGTCACGTCATTTCCTCTGACGAAGTAGCTGTTGATCCAAGCAAGATAGAAACAGTTTTAGATTGGGAAAGACACAAGAGTATTACATAGTCCAGATTTTTCTAGGTTTAGCAGGATATTACAGGCGATTTATCAATGGATTCTCAAGGATTGCTTTACCATTGACTAGATTAACCCGAAAAGGGGTGCCATTTGCATGGACCCTTGGGTGTGATATGAGTTTTCAAGAACTGATGGATAAGTTAACTACCGCTCCAATTTTGATTCTTCCTAACCCGGAAGTGAGATTTGAGATCTATTGTGATGCATCCAAGTATGGATTAGGGTGCGTGTTGATGCAGGAGCGAATGGTAGTGGTCTATGCTTCTAGACAGTTGAGACCCCATGAAGAGAGCTACCCTACTCATGGTCTTGAGTTAGCGGCTGTGGTTTTTGCCTTGAAGATATGGCGTCATTTCTCGTATGGTGCTACTTTCGCAGTTTATAGTGACCACAAAAGTTTGAAGTACTCGTTTGATCAAAAAGAGCTTAATGTGAGGTAAAGGATATGGATGAAATTTATGAAGGATTATGAGTTTGACCTTCAATATCACTCTGGAAAGGCCAATGTGGTGGCTGATGCTTTGAGCAGGAAGACTACGAGTGTGGCTAGCATGATGATTGTAGAGTATGAATTGATTGAGAAGTTCAGGAATTTGAGAATTTTCGTGACACCACTTGAGACTTCATATTTTATGACTACTGTTGAAGTCATAAATTCACTTGTGGAAAGAGTTAAAGCAGCCCAGTTGCTTGATAAAGAAATTCAAGGGATGAAAGAGCAAGAGTTTGTAATCATAGATACTTCTAATGTGAACAAAAAATCGATTAAATGTTCTGAAGGGGCCAACGGTGGAAGAAGTGTTAACAGAGGATCATATAGGTAAGTACACCATCCATCCAGGTGCAACCAAGATGTAACAAGATTTGAAGCGGAATTTTTGGTGATCTGGGATGAAGAAAGACATAGCCTAGTCTATGACTAAGTGCATTATTTGTCAGAAGGTAAAAATTGAGCATCATAAGCCTTCGGGCTTGTTACAGCCATTAGAGATTCCGGAGGGGAAGTGGAC